TTGACATACTTTTTGAATTCTACAATTTTGGATCAATCAATTCTGAATTTGTTCACACACTTGTGAACAAAACAGTTTCCCTTCCTATATATTCTTTCATTATTTTTTACTTATTGTAATATGAATTTTACTCTTTATCAAAGTTAATTTTAATATGTAGTTTTGGTGCTTATATATGAAAACATATTTATTTATTTTTTATTATTATTTTGCAGCAAATATCTAAACAATCTTATGTTAAGATTTTGCCTAGGGCTTCAAAAACTCAGGACTGACCCTAAAACTAGTATAATTTTTTTGACATTTGTTAATGTGATTGATGCATGTTAAAAATATATGAATTTTAATATTCAATTTGAATAAAATAACTAAATTAAAATTGGAGTTTGAATTTAAAATTGAGAGTTAATATTTTTAAAAAAATTAAGGTAAAACTTGACTCAAACTAACAAAAAGTGAAAAAGTAAAATTTATCTTGTTTGGGAAGTGACTAAAATAGCTAAAAAATAAAAAATAAAAATAATTAGAAATTGTCACATTACTTTCTATACGTTTATACATATTTTTCTTCATAAAAAACTAAAAAATTAACTAGGTCTCGTTTGGAAACAGACTAATTTAGTAACTTTTTGGCTATTTGGCTAAAATATGAGCTAAAAAAAGCTAGTATATTTGGGATGACTTTTTGATTTTTTACGAAAAGAGGTGTAAAAAGTAGAGAGAATTTTTGACTTTTTTGTATGGATTATTAGCTTTTTGGCTAATTTAGTAATTTTTTAACTTTTTGACTAAAATGAAGGGTTCCCAAACGAGGCCTAAAATAGCTAATGACAGCACCAATATATATACTTGAGCTTCCAAGTTCCAATGGTTGGATGACTGGAAGGTACAGAAATGGATGATGAATTTTATAAAAGCACTCCCCCCTCCCCTTTCCCTCTCATTATTCATGTGAGATTATTGGTATTTATATGTTAACCTTTAATTACAGAAATAATTGTACTTAGTATCTCAAAATTTTACTTTGATTCTTTTACTTTTAATCGTAAAAATCAACTCATTACACTTAGGTGGAGTTACAATGTCATCCTTTCATTAATCAGTAGTTAATAATGTTGACATAACTTATCATACGACTCATATCTGACATTTTTCTAACATCATTAGCACTCTTATATTTTCACCAAAATCTCATTTTAGTTCTTTCATTTTTAATTTTAGTCATTCACATTAGCAGTAGATAGACAGAACGAAACAGTGACATTGAAATTTGACTTAAAAGACAAGGAATATTAATTGCTAAATTGAAAATGGATGGGCGAAAGTGAGATTTTGAAAAAAAATAAAAATAAAGAGAGGTTAGTATAATTAATCCTTAATTATATGATCCTTAAGTAATCCTTATTTAATGATTGAGCTTGCTCAAAACGAAATCTTATTTGACAACCATAGGCTCCTAATTTCCAAGATAACACATAGGCCTCGTTTGGGAAGTGGCTATTTTAGTAGGCTATTTGGCTTTTTGACTATTTTAATGGCTATTTTAGTTTTTGTGTTTGGGAAGATGAGATGATTTTTTAATTGAGTTATTGTATTGAAAAGTGTGTTGAAATAATGTTTAAATTTAAAATGACAGATTTATCCCTAACTTTTTATTTTTTAAAATTGATATAAAGGGGCAAAATGGTAATTTCGCCCTTGCTGCAACACTGTCCGGCAGCAGCCTATTTTCTTTTCTTTTCTTTTCTTTTTTTTTTTGAAAATCCATGCACGGTGTTGCTTTTGGGCTAAAAAATCAAATGAGACTATAATAGCCTAATTTTCGGAATCCCAAGCAGCGCCATAATATTAAAATGGTTTTGGCAATTATCAATATCATTATCAGCAAGATGATGTATCTAAACTATAGAAGTTTTCATCACTATAATCGTCATCCACATCTATGCATTTCTTTGCTAAGTAAACCTTGAGCATTTGTTCTAGATTCTGTAGGGAGCTTGTTTGGTACAAATTTTGTTAAAGTTAAAATTTAATGATGATAATAATAATAATAATAATAATAATAATAAATTAGAAATACTTCTCCTTTTTGTCTTTCAATCATATGGGTGAGGTGAAGAAAATAGTTGTGTTTGCACCAGAATCTGTCTTAATTTTTTTATATTTTTCAACAAAAAAGAAAGGATAAATTACAAATACACCCCCTGAGACTTACTTAAATTATGTAATACTCCTATAATTTTAGAAATTACAAATATTCCTTTGCCAGAATTCTTAATTTAATACAATTAACAGAAAAAATGAAATTCTTAATTACTTAAGATTAGGGAATTGAAGGGTGGTCTTGTCCCGCGTGTCAATTTTTAGTTGAGATGTAGTAATTTGCAAAGTTGATTTTTCTGACCTGGTTGATTCTTTTCATAATCAATGATTTTTTTTTTTTTTTTTTTTTAAAAAAATGATATTTGATAAAAAAATGATAAGTAATTTAGTTTAAAATAAAAGAATCATACTAAATTACATCATTTTGTTCACTAATGTGTATTAAAATTCTTAAAACCCTCGAGATAGGAATTTGTGATTATAATTCAATTTAAAACAACGAATAATAATCTCAATCAAACAATCAATAACAAATCGGCACAATAATTTAACGTGAAAAAAATTACAATTGGACTTCTCTAATTGTGATAAAAAAAAATTACGGGCTAAAATCACAAAACATTCCATTAACAAGAAAAAAATGAATTACACACAAGAATTCTGAATTTCCTAGTGAATCCATATCCGAATTGAACCGAATCTGATGTGCCTTTTCTACTACTGTCTTCACCTCGGAATTACTTTGCCTAATGTTGAATCCATAATGCCGATGTCGAATCCACGACGATAAGCCACTCTGGATTCTACCAAAGTTTCAGGCACAAGTTCTCCAGAATCTACTGACGAAGACCTCTCTTTTTGTGAATGAAAGAATAAAAACAACCTTTGATGTTTGTGAATATGTAATTCGTTGATCAATCGATCACGTTCTATACATCAAGAAAACTCATAAAACACCCTCCAATATAGAAAATTTTATTTTTTTACTCCTCTCTAAGAATCTAGACGGGTTCAATTATAAAATGAGCAAACGGCGCACTTTATAATAAACAGAATCGCGAAGATCGCTCGAACTCTCACTTTACTGCTCGAGTGGTGTGACTAAAGGTTGTGCTCACAAATAGGCAAACCACTCAAGCACAACATCTACTGCTCGAGCAGTAAAACATGATTCTCAGAAGTTCAGAATGCAGGCAGAGATACTGGATGATTCACTTCACCACTCGAGTGCACAAAAGACTACTCAAGCGGTCAAATAACTTTAACTTCTTCTCGGCTTCGGGGGCATTGCCCCTTATCTTCGCCTCGGTGAGGGTGCTACCCCTTCGACCCCCGCAAGCTGACTGAAAACTCAATCCCCGTACTTAGTCAACGAAGTGGCAAACAAAGAGAGCTCAAAAAGATATAGAATGTTAGCACAAACTCCTCTATTCATGCACAATTCGGGTTGGATTTACATCTACACTCTCATAACTCACAGATAAAATAGAGCAAATAAAAATACAATTGAATATAGTTTTGTCCAATAAGATTGTCAATTATAAAAACCTAACAGTGTATATATAAAAACTATAATTCCAAGTGATATTGTTCTAGTTTATATACATGTACACATTAGTGGCAGGTGCAAATGTCATATTTTTGCAATTTGACATATGAGTTTTTGGATGGCCTCATGAATCTGAAAAATTGGTTGAATTTGAAAATTGTTTACAGCTTTGATTTTCTTACACTATTTCTTTGTTGGTTTAGGTTTAGATTTGAGGCTAGCACAATATATGTACACCATTGTAACTCTGTTACAGAGTTTTGTGATTTTATTGAGAGATAGACATTAATGAAATATCATTAGAGAGTCTGTGGGGGATTAATGTGCGAGACTCATTTTGATCTTCTTCGTCTCTAATTCTAAATTTGTTTTGTGTTTGATTGTATGCTCAAGTCTTAGAAATTGAAATTGTTTATATATGCCATAGCATGACAAAACCTTTAAAATTGTTCTGAATTATACACTTTATATGGATTTTGTTTCTTTGGCATGGATCACTCTACATTAATGCTGCTGTGCTAATTTAATGATCTATATTTAAACTTAAAAATAAAAAATTACGTGGTTTAAAAAATTAAATGTTTTTTGGGAGGGGTCATTTACTTCAATTCTAAATTCGAGTTATTGAATTACAAATTTTGTTAACATTTCATTCTGTCATGACAAACACAATAAGATCATTGCACTAAAGTGTGACAAATAATCCTTCATTACTTTGTGCCTTCGTTTGGGAAGAATTTTTTTAATTTGATTTTTCAACTTTTTTAGCCTGGCTAAAAATGTTCAGGGTTTAGGGATGAACTTTTGACTTTTTTGTAATTTTATGAAAAAAAAAAGTGAAATGATTATGATTTAGACGTGTCATTTTTTTTTATTGACTTTTTAATATCTTTTAGTGGGCTAAATTAATCTCAATCATCTTGCCAAATGCTACTATACACTCTTAATGTAGTGTGTATCATATGCAAGTCAGCACAAATGTCAAAACTAAATTATTTTCAATCATGACCAAATACATAAGATATAATTAAAAATATTTAATTATAATGAGTCATATAACTAATACCACAGTGAATCATAATCGTATCATAATCAATACCATTAGATGTCATAATCAAAACTACAAAAGTCATAAGTGAGTACATATAATCCACACCTCATTTATATATATATATATATGAATAAAATTGCATCTTTTGGAAAAGTTTTCATGTTTGGTGACTTTTTCAAAGTTTGGGAAAAAAATATATACACATTTTTTTTTTTCTATATCTGATATTCTCCATTATATTTTTAGGATGAAGGGATCACAGTCCAATAAAATTGCATCATCTGACAAAGTTTGGTGAGTTTGCGTACAAGTGTGAGTGAGCTGATGATGTGTGTGTGTCTCTCTCTCTCTCCCTCTATATATATAAACTCTTTTTTGGAAGGGCTTGGGAACTCATCAAAATTGGGATATAATCTCACAGAGATGATGAGGACTCTGCACTTTGATAAGAAGACTTTAAAGAAAGGAGCTTGGAGCCGTGAAGAAGATCAGAAGTTGATTAATTACATCAACAAATATCGCATTTGGATCTGGAGTGAGATGCCAAAAGCTGCAGGTATGAGCCAGAACAATATCACACAATTAAGCTGAAAGTTCATAATTAGAAAGCAAAATCTAAAAGTACTTCTTTCTTGGTTCTAAATAATCAATTGTTTTCAACTTATTTAAGATATTTCTGTTTTATAAGATGTAAACAAAAAATTACACAAAACACTCTTGACACAAATTTTTAGAAATGAAAAAAAGAAAATAAAATTATAAGTAGCTCTATAATCTACATCAAACAGTACCAATGGTGGGATGGCAAATTCCAACGTGACGCCGCATATTGTCTAAAAGCACGCGGTCATGTCGTCACTTTATCTCGATTTTTCTGAAAAATTAGAAGCATGTTGCATCTCCTATTATTGAGTGGGCATGAAAGTGGCCAAATAGTGAACAGAATTTTATTGAATTTTTATTCTCTCGTTACTAATACTTCTGATATACTAATTAGAACGAAAATTAAATGCCTATGAGACATTTCTGATACCTATGAGTTCATAGCTAATTCATAGTCAATATGGTTTATTCGATTGCTAAAAAACTGTTTAGTGCGATTAATGATTTTAAAAACCACGACTGCGATCCTTCTTCCAATTTTTTTGTTTCATGTGCTTGGTGCATTTGTTTGTCTTACACTTAAACATGTCCTTTCTTCTTTTTTTTTATCATATTTCAGGTTTGTTAAGGTCTGGGAAAAGTTGTAGACTTCGATGGGTGAATTATCTAAAGCCAGGTATCAGGCGTGGAAACTTTACAAGAGAAGAAGAAGAAACCATACTCAATATGCATGAAATGCTTGGAAATAAGTAAGCAAATCCATCCAATATATTCTCTCTATTAGGGTCTTCAGTGCTTGTACAAATGTTTTGACGTCTTTCTCTTATTTCAGATGGTCTGCAATCGCTGCAGCACTGCCAGGAAGAACCGACAACGAAATAAAAAATTACTGGCACTCCCGCTTGAAGAAACGCTTACGCAAACCACGGACCCAATCACAAGCATCCAGCAGCACTGAAGTGTCAGAGTGGCCGAGGAACGTCCCAGACTCAGCGCAGCCGCCTTTTAGCGTGTGCTTATCACCGAATACTGGTCCTGCTGTTTGGATTAATGAAAATCAGAACATAGAGGCAAATCTTGGGTCAAAATTAGAAACATTTGATGGACTCTTAAGTTCATGCGAAAATCAGAATATGGAGGAAAACTTGTACTTGGAAAATCTCCAAGAAATGTTTGAGAATCCTGGATTTGCTCTCCCACAGAGTGAGCTGTGGTTCTCAGAGCCAACAAGTCCATATGGTTTCTACCATGATCCTTGGTTCAACTTCAACCTCTCAGTGCAATCAGATATGGCTGGAGTGAAAGAGCCTAATGTCCATTTTTAAGTGATACCATAGTTTTTGTGCTCCTTAGATTTTCGTAATTAAACTGTGTCTGTGTCATTCTAGTGTTACAGTCAGTCTTTTGAGTATTAGGACCGTGTGTGAGGCCGTCCGTGCTGTGTTTCATCTTGTACGCAGTTAGTCTTAAAGCCTAGATAAATATGAGGATTGTGTGTGGCAGTATGTGTCGTGTCTAGCGTTTCATCTTTCACATAGTCTTAAGTCTAGATAAATAAAAGCATTGTATGCAAAGAAGCCTGTGTTGTGTCTAGCGTTTCATCCTTCACATAGTCTCTATGAAGCACGGATACTTCAAAAAGGGTGATGTATCCGTATCGGATACTTATCGGATACCGATACTCCTCGGATACTCGCGGATACGTATCAGATACTTCTTAAAAGTATCGGATACTTCTTAATTAATTTTTTATTAATTTTGAAGTATCGGATACTTAATTTTGAAGTATCGGATACTCGAAGTTACATATTACTTATAATATTTTGTTTAGTTCTTTCATAAGAAGAATATAGTGAGAGCTTAAGTAATAGAATTTGTCAAATTGATGTATCCTTGTTGTCTCTCTCACTTCTCTCTCGCTTTCTCACTCTCTCACGTTTCTTCTCTCTGCTCTCATTCTTTTTTTGGTGTTGGCATGTAAGGATGATGTTTAATTTGTATTTGCTTTTGCTTTTAGTTTTGAATGTTTGAGCAATTTTAGGTTAATAGGAATCCCTCTCTTTATTTATTAATTTACTTTAAGTTTTATTTTCATGCATATTACATTATTAAAATCACAAAAAAAATATATATATATTATGAATGTATCCCCGCTGTACCCGTATCATATTTTTTCAAATTTTGACATATCGCCATATCTACATCCCCATTTCACTATATTCGTATCCGTGCTTCCTAGGCTATCATTGATGACTTAAAAAAGTATATTTGCTGAAATTTTTATTTAAAAATGGTTTTTTGGCTTTGGCTTTAGCTAAGGTCTTGTGATATTCACTGATGAAGGGGAACAAGTTGAAACTATTGACCTTGAAGACTCTTAATTTTGTAGGAATCTTTCTTCTTTATCAAGTTGTCTTTTGCTTTAAGTTTTATTTTTATGCATACTGCATTACTGAAAATTGTTAAAATAATATTTTTTACAAACGTATCCCCGCCGTACCCGTATCCTAGTTTTTCAAATTTTGTCGTATCGCCGTATCGTATCGTATCGTATCCGTATCCCGTATCCGTATCCGTGCTGCCTAGCATAGTCTCAAGTCTAGATAAATAGGAGGATTGTATGTGAGGAAGTCTGCATCGCATCTAGTGTTTCATCTTTTACATAGCTAGTCTTCACCCTAGATGAATGATTGTGTGTGAAATAACATGAAAGTTGGCACGTAAAAATTACTGTCAAATCATTTATGATTTGTTCGGTTTGGTTTGAAAGAATTCGTATATGCTTTTGGAGGTATGAACCAATAGTTCCATCAATGTATGTCGGTTTGGGTTTGAAAGAATTCGAAATTGTGTTCAGCATCATCATCTAAAGCTCATACTTATGTTAATATAATCTTGGTATGTTGTTGCTAGTGTGCATAGTATGAAATACACACACACGCATATATATATATATATATATATGTGAAATTTATATAGAAAACAACATAAGACTGACAACACATGCAAAGCTAGAAACCAGATTTTGCATGCTACAGCAATAATTTTATGATGACCACTTTTATGTAACCATATTGCGTTCATCATTTACATACATCACCGTTTGACTGATTTAATAAATTTCAGTACTAACGATTATTACGAATGTAATAGTGATACATTACATAATAAACAAACTAGTGCGGAAATACGATCATAATAACAATATTCCTGCTATTGTGATTGCCATATCAAGAGCCAATGCTTTCCAAGCTCATTTGATGTTTGGTAAGTAGTTTTGATTTCACTTTTGGTCTAATTACTCTATTCACCCATTGCTTATTCAAATGAATATATCTTGTGCGGGGTGGATTACGCACCGGCCAAATTATATTAGTAGTCCTTATATTTCGGCTCTTATATTATTTTAGTCTCTATAATTTTAATTTGCTCGATTTTGGCCACGAATTTATGATTTTATATCAATTTGATCTAATTGATTACAATTGTAAGTATTTTTTGATAAGAATATGCACATGACATGTGTTACGCTTATATAGGCAAAATTATGAACTTGTTCAACTGAGTTAATATCAACCAATATTCAATAACCATTTTTCTTTTAAAAAAATCTAGTCAATAATATCAATTGGACTAAATTGATACAAAATTTAAAATTAAGAGTCAAAATCGAATTAATTAAAATTATAAAGATCAAAATGAAACAAAAGGTAAAATGCAGGGACTATTGAGATAATTTACCCTAACGACTTTGTACAATCTTTCTGTTTGTATATAGCAACATTCAAATTTTTTCATTACATTATTAGTTAGGAATACTATATGAATAATAACAAATGATACGCTAGAATTACATAATAATTACCCTTTATTTCGAAGTGTGGCATCTCAAAAAGATGAGAAATTTTTTTATAAAATCTAATTTAATCCCATAAATGCTCCTTGAGGATCAAGATGACTTGGCATACTCCAACTCCTTTCTAGTTTGGTTGAGAGAAAAATTATAAATGGATAGAATTCAATCACATAATCAAACAAAATTCTTTTATAGAGTGGAACCCATCAATATATGTATCTCCAGTTCTGTTATCGAATTTTAAGTTATTTTTGTATGGCTTAGTTGGGCCTTTTTCTCATTCCAATCTATGTCATCAATGGGTTGGATTTGATGCTGGTTGTTGAAGTGTGTGGATATATATATATATATATATATATTCAATTTGTTTTGCAAATTGAAGACGCCCATGTGCTGGTTTTGGTGAATAAGAAAATGGATGAGTGAGGTGTACATATGTTTCTAAATATTTATTAATTGGTTTAACCCATCTTTATTGGGAGAAAAACGTTATTAGCTTTTATATAGAAAACTCTCAACAAACCACCTACGGCAGCAGTTTCCATGTCCTTTCTAAAATTTGAAAATAATATTTTCCTTTTTTGGTGATCACTACAACAAATTACATTTTTTGTGACTAAATTTTTAGTTGTCAAAAATTATTTTTTAGTCGCTGAAGATTTTTGCCAACTAATTTTTTGATCGCCAGCTTTGTCGCAAGATGATTGTCGGAAAAGGTATTGGCGACTAAATTTTTTTCAGTCGCCGATAGTCACAAATTGACAACTAAAAATTTAGTCGCCCAAAAGAAAATATTTAGTCACCAAAACTCAATATATGGAGACTAAAAAAATTTTTTTTGTCGACAATTCTGAAATTTTTAGCAACTAAATTTTTTTTTAGCCGCCAATAATTAACATACACCGACTAAAAAAAATTACTAGTTAAATATTTTATTTTTGCCAACTAAAAAATTTATTAGTCGTCAATTCCCTAACTTTTGATGTCTAAATTTTTTTTAATCACTAATTTTAATCACCAAATATGTATTTTGCTGTAGTGGATGAAATAGAGCTTTTGTCGATGAGTGTTGGGAGCTTCTATTTACACACACAAAATACACTTTCAACACATCTCCCCTCACTACACTTTCTACACACCTCTTTCATTAAGTGTGTGTATTAAGAGGGTTTAATGTGTGTAAATAGAAGCTCCCATGAGTGTTGTCCAAATAGAAAGACGCATTAAACATTAGCTCTTGCACCAACATGTTAGATTGTCAAAATATTATTTTTCAAAGATATTTTGACTTCTTTGTTTTTCGTGATCGGTATGTATTATGATTTAAAGGATTTACGTATAAATTTTAATAAGTGAATTTATTATTTAATAAGTTTTATAATAATTAATAGTATTTTTTATCAAATATTATTAAAAAACGTTACTAATTATTAATTTTTAATGACTATTTAAAAATTGTCATAAAAAATGTTATTAATTATAAGTTTTAGCAACAATTTAAGAAAATCATCACAAAAAAGTTTCTAATTTTTAACTTTCAATGACAGTTTGACAAATTCGTCACAAAAAAAGTCACTAATTGTAAGTTTTAGCGACCATTTATAACAATCGTGACAAAAAAAAAGTCATTAATTGTCAATTTTTAATGACATATGTAAAAAAATAGTCACAAAAAATTATTTTTAACAATGATTTATTAAGACTTATTTTCAATAGGACTTGATAGAAATTAAGTCCAATTATTAGGACCTATTAGTAATTTATCCGATTGATTTTTACATTTTACCCCTAGTTTAAACCGAGAGAGAGAGAGAGAGATATGAGATTAATTTGGACAATTAAATTGAAACACTTTTTATTCGTTAGAGACTAAATTGGCCAAGTTTTGAGATAAAAATGACATAGATGGCACATTTGGAAACTAAAAGCATAATGTTTGAACATTTATCACTGTCTTTAACAATGTATTGATAGCGTTAGGTTAGATGACTAAATTAACATAATTTTTATGTATTGTGGACTAAATTGACACGATTTAAATTTTAAAATTAAAATGACATAAGTTACATATTTGTAAAACTAAAAATATATTTAACCGTAATTTTTTGAGTAATTTTTTCTATTTATATGTTATTTTTATTAGACACTTGCAGTGAAAAGTGTATCATGATAATGAGGCAAAACTTTCTCATCTTATTGCACAAGATATCGTTTTAAAAATTGTGTTTAGTTAATCAAACAAGGGAGTGGCGAATGGATTAAAGGTGGTGAGTTTCACGAGTATTATAGGAAGAGATGGTGGAAATGAAGTGATAGTTGCATGAAAAAAGGAGTTAAGATTTTATTTTGGTGGTTTCATTAATTGTTTAAGTGATTCTTTGATTTTCAAAAAAAAATATTGTGAGTACAAAATCCATTTCTCTTAATTTATGTTTAATTCATTGTTTTTATTTATTTATTTTTATTTATTTGATGTTGATTTGATTTTGTATTTGTATGTAGATGATAGATTGATTTCAATTATTCTGGTTAGTTGTGTATGCAAGGTTTGGGATTTTTATATGTATTTATTATATGATTGTAATCACACACATGATTATACGAAGTAAAAATAAATTGGGAACCCATGGGAAGTTCATGGGTTATAAAGGTAAAAACCTTGACCCTTATATAGCATTGAGGCCTTTTCTCGGATGGTGAAATCTCTAACAGAACTCCTCAGTTAAGTGTGTTTAGATTGGAGTATAGTTCTGAG